CCTCCCGAATTTTCACAGAGATACACATCCAGTATGCCAAATCGCATCCAGAAACTAAAAAAGCATCGTATTAATAACTCTTTTTTTTCGTGAAAATTGTCAAAAAGTTATTAAAAATATATGAGTGCAAAACTGTAACATCTGCCTTAATTTACATTTGTGTCTGCTAGTTTTATTATTGTTGTTGGATTGACTTCAAATCGTTATGAGAGAGGAAGTACAGGTGTACTAATAAGAATACACAACAAAAGTATGAATGTCGTTAGAACTTGGGAAGATAGCGGTGGCTCTAATAAGAAGTGTTACTCCATGTTACAGTTTTGCCCGTCACTCTAAGTCCATCTAATGTGACATTCCAATTGCTTACAATTAAATTCGCCACCCACAACAATAACGAATGGTTGCCGGGTTGCATTATTTTCCTGGCACTGTTTTATGCAATTGCCTGATTTACTTCACAAGATTGGCTTACTGTGGCTGTGAACGTATTTTGAGAATCCGAAATAGTATACTTTGTGTGACGCCTATTTACGATTTTTACAGTTGGCAATAACATCGAATGCATCAACATCATAACATGTACATATGGGCGAATCCGAGAAATAGTCAACCAAAATCGCAAGAAATGCATGCAATTCGAATTTTCTCATTTTTGTGTCAAAAAAGGCATAGTACAACAAATCTGATTTTCCACTCTTACTTCTTGAAACAAAGCATTGGTTTAAACACTATATCTCTTAATAAAATACAACAATATCTCTTAGAAAAAAAAATAATTTTTTTCAACAGAAAAAAGAGTAACGTCCGTAACGTAACGTCCCGAACGCACATATACAATTGTTTTAAAGTTAATCCGACCTTTTGTTTGCTTTTATATCACATTTGGTAAACTTTATTATGTTCTCTTCAAAATATTTTTGTAGATCGTGCTCTCCATGCATGACAATTTGCGCAAATTAGATTGACCTTGGTGGTCATATCAAAATCGCTTCCTTTTTCAGTAACGTCCGATTGATTTCATATACATAGTACCTCCATACCAAGTTCCAGTACTCTACCATGAACATTTCCAGAGATATACAGTGTGAGGTGCCACGCCCCTTTTCCAATAGCTCCAATTTCTCTCCGTGAATATGTGACTGATTTCATATATTTTCGTACCAAGTTCAAACATTTTACCATGAACGCTTCCACTACTTACTTTAGTTAGGATTAGACATGGGTTAGCCAAGGATTAGAGACATAAGCCTCTTAAAAGTAATAAGGGATTTAATTTTTTTTTTAATTTTGAGTTGCGTCGTTATTGCAGAGGACCATCGGCATGTGAATTCATATATTTCGATAATGAAATAAATTCGAGCATAAATACGATTTTTAGTTACATATACATATTATTTTTCCTGTTATCAATACATATTTTGAATCTGAGGATAATCGGACCATAAACACAATTTTTAGTAATAACTCGACTCCTACGCCACCTGGCGGCTTTTTATTGTCAATACACATCTCAAATATGAGGCGAATCGGACCATAAATACGGGTTTTACTAATAACTCGACCCCAGCGCCACCTAGCGGTTATTTTAATAGTTGTTCTGCTATTCGGAAGGTAGACAAATTCAAGAAACAAATATAACAAGTAAGAAAGTCTAAGTTCGGGCGGAGCCGAACATTAAATACCCGGCGCAAGTATTAAATATATGTTTTCCACCTTTCCGAAAGCTACCGCTACATGATAAGCCGGGTGTATACATTTTAGGTAAATTAGCGTCCTTAAATTTCGAAATATTGCAGTTTCAAGCATATCTGAAATTTACCGTTATATGAAAAGCGGCCTCAATTTTAGTTTGATTTCAACAATTTTCAACGGTTTGCTTTTATGTGGCAAGCACAATAACCATACCGAGCTTGGTACAAATTGCTAGAACGGTTAGCGAGATACATATATGTGATCACAAGTGGGCGGTGCTACGCCCATTTTCCAAAATTTTGTTATAAACGTATTTCTTGGTAAAGAATTGTTGCAATCATCAATTTTGAATAAATTAGCTTTGATATTTACTGATTTATCGAAGATTTTGTATTTCTCGAAATTACCGTTATATGGGATGTGGGCGTGGTTATTGTCCGATTTTAGAAATTTTCGGCCAGTTGGTATGCTGTACCAGGACCAACAACTGTGCCAAGTTTGGAAGAAATTGGTGTAGCGGTTACCAAGATATACACATGTAACCATAAGTGGGCGTGGCTACGCCCATTTGCCAAAATTTTGTAATATTCTTATTTTTCGTCTAAAACTCATTGCAAATGTCAATTTTGAGTGAATTATCTTCAGTAGTTACTAAAATATCGCAGTTTTCGTTTTTCTGAAAATTACCGTTATATGGGAGGTAGGCGTGGTTATTGTCCGATTTTTAAAATTTTCAGCCATTTAGTAAGCTGTACTAAGGCCAACAACTGTGCCAAGTTTGGAAGAAATTGGTGCAGCGGTTACCAAGATATACACATGTAACCATAAGTGGGCGTGGCTACGCCCATTTTCCAAAAATTTATAATATTCATGTTTTCCGTCTGAAACTCATTGTAAGTATCAATTTTGAGTGAATTATCTTCAGTAGTTACTAAAATATCGCAGTTTTCGTATTTCTTAAAATTACCGTTATATGGGAGGTAGGCGTGGTTATTATCCGATTTCGCCCATTTTCAATACCATCCGTCCCACGCCCAAAAGAAGTTCACGCACCAAGTTTCGTTAAGATATCTCAATTTTTACTCGAGTTATCGTGTGCACAGACGGACGGACGGACGGACGGACGGACGGACAGACAGTCACCGCTTAATCGATTTCTCTTTTCATTCTGATCATTTATGTATACATTTGTCTATATCTATCTCGATTCGTTTTGCCTGTTACAAACAACCGTTATGTGAACAAAGTTATAATACCCTTGTGCACAAGTGCGCTCGGGTATAAAAATCGGTCCAGCCGTTCTTGAGTTATAAATGGTGTAACTAACACGACTTTGTTTTATATATATAGATTACTTGCTAGATATTGATGAAATAGCCTTTAATGATCGATTATCGCTTAAAATGATAAAACGAAATATAGTAAAACTGCGTTTTTAGTTTTCTCTCTGACGTTTTTTTTTAAAGGACTTTTTAGTTCCAAAAATATTATTTATTCAAAAATTATTTAAAAAATTCATTCCAATGTAGAAAAACAGTATGCGTAACAAATTAAAGAAAAAATTCTGTAGAATTAAAAATCATTAAAATTTGTTGGTTCACAAGTTCCGAGTCTATTCTATTGCTGAGTATGAGGCCTTATGTTGGACAAAAGGAAAAGTATAAAGCTGCCTTTACATGAGGGGATTTTTTGACAGGCAATAATCGCCTGCAAAAGTTGACTAGCTGTCTACTTTGAGGCAAGCGATTTTTGAACCACCATTTACACGAGCGATTTTTCTATAGCAATGTTGAATCGCCTAGAAAATCGCCTCATGTAAATGCAGCATAAATGACTCAAAATGGAGGAAATTAGCCTATGGCTTGCGCATTTTTCTTAAAGTGTTTACCGCTGATAAACCGAAACAAAGGTTAAAAGTTATAAGTTAATTAATAAAATTAAAGTAAAATATGTACAAAATTAACAAAACACTTTTTTCTCAAAATTTATAAAGGACCCGTTTATTAAAAAGAAATCTGGGTAACAATTATTCATCGCCGACCTGTTTATATTAATAGGCTAACATAAATTTTGTTCGCCTTCGTTTGGTGCAAGGCGAATTTATATAAGCTGGTTTTACTAGATTAGCTGATTTTGCGTACATATGTGTTTCGCCTCACGGCTGCTTGTGTCAAATTGAAAAATGTTGTTTGCATTTCCACACACACTCTTACAGACTTGCACAGTTTATGCCGCCAAAGCAAAAACAAAATACATGTAAATTTTTGTTTTTGTACCCCTGCTATCACCTTATGTTAATTCGTCTTGGTTTGGCGGTTCTACTGAAACCAAAAACACCATTGAACATCTATTTTCTTGTGGAAGGCGAGAGTTGCTGCAATCGCCGTCTCGAAATTTCCATATTTGTGTTTTTCGTATTTTTGTATTTCAACTCGAAGACGAATACGAACGGGAATACGTATACAAATACCAATACGAAGACAAAGACAATTACGAATATGAATATGAAAACAAATAAGTAGAGCAGTCGAATATCAATTTGTAGACCAATACGAAAATTAAGACGAACACGAATACGAAGCCGGACACGAACCTGAGTAGTAAGACGAATGCTAGGACGAATACGAAGACGAACAAGAATGAAAGGACGAGTAGGAAGACGATTACGAAGAATTTACGGAGACAAATACGAACACCAATACGGAGACGAAAACGAAGACAAATACGAAGACGTATATGAACACAAAAAAAAGACGAACACAAATACGAACGTGGCCAACCGAAAATGAATAAGAAGACGCATTGGAATACGTCGACGAAGATGAATTCGAATACGGGGACGAATACGAAGAGAAATACATACGAAAAAGAGGACGAATCCCAAAATTATGCTGAAGACGAATTTAAGGACAGGAGGAGTTTTAAGACATGCTAATATGAAGAGGAAATGAATTCGAAGAAGAGTGCCACGACGAAGTCGATGATGAATACAAATCCGAAAGAGAATATGAGGACCAATACCAAGTGGAATACGAATACTAATACGGACACATTTCTACGAAGCATACGAGGATAGCGACCAAAACGAGCATGAAGGTGATGGAAAAACCAATACAAAGACGAATACGTGTATAAAGACAGCGACTTAAACAAAGGCGAACAAATCTTCGGGACCCTTAAAAACCAGAAAAGTGGCCGAAATTCGGCAGAAACTGCCACTCCTAGTTTAATTTATTTTCCAAAGTAAAATCTTACACTAAACCCCATTTCTTTGTTTGTTAAAAATACTGCAATCGATAAATTTTCAGGCAAAGAATCATCCTCACAAATACAAGTGGATTCCGGCTGGTTGAACCGTAACACTATCGATGATCCCATAAAAGGAGCTGTGGTAACAGCAACAACATCTTGTCCATCAATCGGCGCAGCACATTCAAACACTCCGATGGTAGAAAAACGTTATGGACTAAGTAATATCAATGTGACCACTTTAAAGCTATTGACCAGTGTAAACCAGACGAAAAATGAAGAAAAGCCAGATGAAAAAGTACAAGACGAGAAATCGGAAAGCGCAAAGAAGAAATCCTTTGAAGTAAATGTGGAAATGGATTCAGACTCCGTTGTTTCGGATAGTGCAGGTGAGGGAGAAGAACAAAAATACGTGCACGCGGCTAAAAGGCGTAAAGTACTTAAGACAATTGAAAAAACGAACCAAATAAGTAATCTAACAACGAAAAATAAAGAGCTCAACAATTTAAAAAAGGTAGCGGTTGAAGATACCGTAAATCTCTCAGAAAATCTTCAAGACGCAGACCCTTACGATTTTTCAGCCGATGACATTGAAGATGCAGATTACTCACCACCTAAAAATACTAAAGCGAAGCGCACACAAACGAAAACTGTTAAACAGCGAGTGAAATCTCAGCAGTCAGAGCGAGGGAAATCTTCTAAGCAAGCAAAGCCAAAATTGAAACAAAATGCCAAGAGGTCAGCAAATTCTCTAAGAATGACTCCAGCTAGAGCTAAATCAAAAGCTATGAACTCGAAAGCTGCTTCGGATGATACGGTAACAAATATGGAAGCGTCTTCAGAAGAGCCTGTTGAAAAGCCGCCAGAAGCAGCATTGTTGCGTTATAACATGCTGCTCGAACGTGGTGATCTCATTTGTACTCCCCGTGTAGCAAATAGTGAGTTGGAGAAAGCGGACGATGTAGCGCAGCAATATATAAACTGTACAAATATCACATCTGCATCTGCGCAAACGTCAGCCTCGAAGGCTAAAACCTCCCTAACACCTATTATCGATGAGAAACGAGCAGGGGAGAGAAAGAAACTTGAAGCAAAAATTGCGGCGGGAAAACTCAATGAAAACTATGTCTCTATAAACCTGCAAAAAAAGATATTTGCGCGTGGAAAACGTCATATGAACTATTCTAAGTACAAGAAAAAACAGTGGCGTCACAAAAAGAAAATTGCTGCTCTTGCCGGCCCAGACATGGACATGGGCGGCTGCGACGGAGGTGTTCTAACGTGCTTCAATTGCGGGAAAGTGGGTCATTTTGCCTCTCAATGTAAGATCAAGGGAGACTCCTTGCTGCCGCTGTCGGCACAGCTCAAAGAGGATCCCTCACCATTTCCAACACTTGAAGAAGCCGAGCGTATGGCAGCTCATAATAAGGTTGTGGTGCACAGCAGAAATATATCGAAATTACCAGCTGCACCAAATACTGCGTTATATCAGAACAGTGAAGATGGTTGCCTAAGAGAAAAGCAAGAAAATACAGATGAGCAGGATGAAGAAGTAGATGAGGAGACCACGGGCGGTAACCGAAGTAATGGTAACTCTATTGATGACTATGAAAGCGAGAATAGTATGGGTTTTGAAAGCGATGAAGAGCTTGAAAATATAAACCTAGAACAATTATCCACTCCGACTACTCAAGTTTCACCCATTAAAAAATATGTAGGTCACCAAATTCCAGAAGATTTTCTTAAAGAAGCCGGTTTACATTCGACAAGTACGAATGAAAAAATACCAGGTACAAAGTTTGGCGATATCAGTCCTCTTTATGAACTCGATTCCGAAGGAAATGTACGTACCGACGTTCCCTCCGAAGTAACAGATGCATTGCGTATGTTCGGTCATACCAATTTTCGAAAAGGCCAAGACCGTGCAATTATGCGTATACTATCTGGTCTTTCAACGTTAGTTACTCTAAGCACCGGCAGCGGAAAGTCGTTATGTTATCAGTTGCCCGCTTATTTGTATAGCCATCGCAGACGGGCAATAACATTAGTTATATCACCGCTCGTGTCCCTTATGGAAGATCAGGTGACCGGTGTGCCACATTTTTTGCGAGCACATTGCCTACACACAAATCAAACACCCCAACAGAAACTTAAGGTAATGGAGAAAATATCTGCTGGTGAAGTGGATATTTTGTTAGTGTCACCGGAAGCAGTAGTGGCTGGCGAACGTTCCACTGGTTTTGGCGCAATTCTACGGCAACTACCACCAATTGCCTTTGCCTGCATCGACGAGGCGCACTGTGTATCGCAATGGAGTCACAATTTTCGCCCTAGCTATCTGATGATTTGCAAAGTTCTAAGACAGAACTTGGGTATTCACACAGTATTGGGCCTAACTGCAACAGCAACGTTACCAACACGGCTAAGCATTATTAGTCATTTAGGCATAACGGATGGCGTACGTGGTGTCATAAGTGACACTCCACTGCCAGATAATCTTCTGTTGTCCGTATCAAAGGACGAAAATAAAGACGCTGCGTTATTGGCCCTACTTACAAGTGATCGGTAAGATATACATATTTTAATTCAATAAACCATAGTTAATTTATAGTTATTATTTTATATTAATTTTTCATAAAAATATTTGACATTATGTGGAATAAAAATTTTATTATTACAAAAGTATTGTGAGGGTACAAAGGGCCCTAACAGTTGTTGTGTGCCTTGTGCAGCAGCTCAGAAAACAAAAGAAACTCATCCTTTTAAACCGACTTCCAAAAAAGGAGGAGGTTATCAGTTCGTCGGAATATTTTTTTATTTTTTTATTTTTGTTTTTTTATGTACATATGTTACCGCATAACTTTGGACCACGTCAACTGATTTCGATAATTCTGCATCGGAAAGGTAGTGTCTCAGAGCTGGTCCTATACTAATCTGGTTAAGATCCGATCAGTGGATCATGAGATATATATATATATATATTTTTTTATATGAGAGTTGAAGTCGGTTTTTTTTTTTGCTAAAAACTACTTGTTATTTATGCGTTTAGGATTTGAGCCTTTTTTCGAGTTTAACGAAGTTTATTACATCACTAGCATAGAGCTTAAAATTGCAGTTTTAAATCTTTATAAGAGAGAAAAAAATCCTAAAATTTTTTTCATGTACATATTTTGCAAAATCTTCACTACAGAGCAAAACAAAATTGTATACGAGTCATTTAATTAAAATTTGACGTTAATGAAAAATATGTGTATTCTCTTGGACTTATCAAATTTTCTGTGCTTTCTTTGGAATTAACATATTTGCGTTTCACCGAATAGACTAGGCCTATTGTTCACTCCATGGTAGGTTCGATTTTACATAATTCCACAAAAATACTATCACTGAGTTCGAATAGCTACGAACGCATAAATATCCACAGGTGCCCTAAATATTTACGGACTCAGTAAGATTGCTGCAAGCGGATTTTCGGTTTTTTTTATAGAATTTTCCTCAATTTTGATTCTTTTAATGAAAGGGTCTCTTGCTGCTTCCCCAATTATGAAGATTTCCCACGGCCTTAAGTGAAAGACCTTATCAAGATGCACTGCTCAGAGCACCTGATATACCGGGGCATGCGAATCTCTGCATACTTCCGATGATCATTTTCCGTAAATTACGTACGGTGACAGTCCCCAGTTTGTCGGAATGCCATTTTGCAGATAAGGTATGCTGTATAGTATACAGTGTATACCTAATTTTGCACTCTCCTCAATGTTACGTCACCATGTTAGCTTAGAGTCGAAAGATAAAACCGAAGTACTTCGCCTTCCGTGAAAACATTTCTCTACTTAAGCAAACATTGTTTATGGATAATATGATGAACTTTTTATAACATTTTCCCATAGTGCCACTGTTACGAAAAACATGTATGCCTATTTACGAGTATTAAGAACCCAACAAGCAAAGCAAACTTAAAGTCGGTTTTATTTTACATAGATTTTATAAAGCGAAAATGCTTATCTTGGTATGAAGTCATGATCAAAAAATACAATAAAACTATTAACAGTAAATATAGCTTTTATTAAGAAAAGGGAAAAGCAAAATAAGTACAAAGTTTTCTTTTTATATCAAAATTAAAACGAATAAAAATCAGCAACATCAACAGAAGTTTTTCCAAGCAGCTGTCGCCCCTTGGTAGAAAATGTCAACCCTCCGAATGTACTTCTGCCATAAAAAAGCAAAACACGAGTGCGAAGAGATGCTCAGAAAAACATGTAGAAAGCGTTTAAGCGCCAAGCAATCGTTTTTTGGAATCAAATATGACATACTTTTCATCGCCAAATAACCTAGGATATAATTTTGAAACTATTTAGTGGCTTCCCTTGATCGATCAAAAAATCCGGTTTATTCGATATTCGAAAAATCAAAATTTCACAAAAACCGCCTATAGATTGCCAAAAAAAACCGGTGGTAATCGATTTGGAAAAACCGAGTCAATCACCCTAATACATATGGGTGTTTCCAGCGGAAGGTCCACCACGACAAAAAAAATAAAAGTTTTATATCTAACGTATTTACGGGCCGATTTGTCTGCTTTTTAAAATATATACTGGCTATGTAAGTAGAATCATGTTTGCATAAAATGGTCGTCCTGGGTGGTGCCAAGGTCGAGATATTTCGAAAAACCGTATTTATGGTCCGATTTGGTTCGAATTTGGCGTATGTGGTTGAAACATAATAAATCATAGATTCCTAATAAATTGACCCTGAATTGGCGCTGAAGTCAAAATATAAAGTATATTCTACATAAAATACATGTTTTATTTGCGTTGAAAATTCATTTTAAAGCAATATTAACAAAAATATAACGATGGAAATTTATGTCACGTGACGCCACGTCACGTCACGTTTCACACTAGGGATTGTAAAAGAGAATTGAAACAATTTGCATTAATTCAAAAAACTCTAAAAACAATTAGAATTGCTCCAAATCATATTAAAATAAGTTTCATGAAAATAGCCATCCACAATTCGCAGAGTTTTGCGATTTTGTAAGAAAAGAAAAAATCAACTTCCATTTTTTGTCACGTAACGACACTCTCTTTAAATGCTTATATTTCAGGACCAAGCAGTTCGATTGATTTCATTTTTCGGTTAAATATAGAGCTAATTATGTGCTGTACAATGGCCCAAAAAAGTTAAAGAAAACAAATGGTATTCCTTTTTTGTATCACATTGAAATCGTACGACTGTCACGTGCGCCACCATGGGAATGCCCATATATATAAAAACTGCACTTTGGCTGTTTTTTTAACGCATGTGCAGAAATTTTTTGAATTACAAGCGTTACATTTTTAACTTTACTTCGGCTGAATTTCCTGTATAACAGAAAAGACCAAATTTTTTATGCTTCTCGAAGTTTGCGAGTTGGTTGGCTAAAATTAAAATCAATTTGATTTTGTTCATGTAGGCAACATGGTTTGCTGACTACATCAATATCGAAATCTCAAAATATTTTGAAAGCTATGGCTACACAAAAATAGGTAATATAAAAGATATCTTCTTCTTCTTTATTGGCGCTGTAACCGCCTAAGCGATTTTGGCCGAGTCCAAAACAGCACGCCAGTCATTTCTCTTCTGTGCTGACGCTAATTGGAAATGCCAAGTGAAGCCAAGTCCTTCTCCACCTGGTCTTTCCAATGCAGAGGAGGCCTTCCTCTCCCGCGTTGAATATTTTCAGAGCAGGAGCGTTTCTGTTCATTCGAACGACATGGTCAAGCCAGCGAAGCCGCTGAATTTTAATTCGCTGCACTATGTCTATATCGTTGTAAAGCTCATACAGCTCATCGTTTAATCGTCTGCGATATTCGCCATCACCAACGCATAAAGGTCCATAACTCTTTCGCAGAATCTTTCTCTCGAAAACTCCAAGAGCCGCCTCATCAGATGCTTTCATTGTCCATGCCTCCGCGCCATACACCAGCACAGGCATGATGAGTGACTTATAGAGTGTGATCTTTGTACGACGAGAGAGGACTTTACTTCTCAATTGCCTACTCAGCCCAAAGTAGCACTTGATGGCAAGAGTGATTCTCCGTTGGATTTCAAGGCTGACATTATTATTGGTGTTAATGCTGGTTCCCAAATAAACGAAGTCGTCTACTTTTTCAAACTTGTAACTGTCAACAGTGACGTGGGTGCCAAGACGCGTATGCTCTGACTGTTTGTGTGATGACAGGAGATACTTAGTTTTGTCCTCGTTCACCACCAGACCCCTTCGCCTTGCTTCTTTATCCAATCCCGAGAAGGCAGAACAGACGTAGCCCTTGTTTTTACCGATAATATCGATGTCGTCGTCATACGCCAGCAATTGTACGCTCTTGTAAAGTATTGTGCCTGAGCAGTTCAGTTCTGCGGCTCTTATTATCTTCTCCAACATCAGATTAAAGAAATCACACGAAAGGGAGTCCCCTTGTCTGAAACCTCGTTTGGTATCAAACGGCTCGGAGAGGTCCTTCCCTATTCTGACGGAGCTGGTGGTATTGTTCAACGTCATTTTACACAGCCGTATTAGTTTCGCGGGGATACCAAATTCAGACATCGCGGGGATACCAAATTCAGACATCGCGGCATAAAGGCAACTTCTCTTCGTGCTGTCGAAAGCGGCTTTGAAATCGACAAATAGATGGTGTGTGTCGATCCTATTCTCGCGGGTCTTTTCCAAGATTTGGCGTATTGTGAATACCTGATCTATGGTGGATTTTCCAGGCCTAAAGCCACACTGATAAGGTCCAATCAGCTCGTTGACGGTGGGTTCCAGTCTTTCGCACAATACACTCGATAATACCTTAAAACCTATGCTTAGAAGGCTGATTCCGCGGTAGTTGGCGCGTATGGCGGGGTCGCCTTTCTTGTGGATTGGGCAGAGCACACTTAAATTCCAGTCGTCGGGCATGCGTTCATCTGACCATATTCGGCATATGAGCTGATGCATCATCAGCTCCTCGCCGCCGTACGTGAATAGCTCGGCTGGCAGGCCGTCAGCTCCAGCAGCTTTTTTGTTTTTCAGCAGCGTAATCGCTATTCGTACCTCGTCATAGTCAGGCGGTGGGACAGCTACTCCATCATCATAGACTGGGGACTCGGGTTCGTCTTCTTCACTACTTTCAGCGCTGCTGCCATTCAGTAGGCTGTAAAAGTGTTCCCTCCACAATTTAAGTATATTCTGGACATCGGTCACTAGGTCGCCATTGTTGTTCTTACAGGAGTTCGCCCCGGTCTTGAAACCTTCCGTAAGTCGCCTAACCCTCTGGTAGAATTTTCGGGCGTTCTTCCTGTCGACCAGCATCTCAAGCTCTCTCTCTCTTCTTATTGCGGCAAATACGTCTCGCTTCCTTCTTCAGTTCCCTATAACGGTCCCACATGGCTCGCGTTGCGCCCGATCGCAGCGTGGCCCTGTAGGCGACATCTTTTTTCTCTGCGGCTTCTCGGCCGGAGTGTACGTCTAAAACGCTTGAAGCATGCCTTCCGTCTATCACACCATGATCGATTTGGTTTCTCGTTTTTCGATCTGGAGACAGCCATGTAGCTTGGTGGATGTTCTTATGCTGGAACCTAGTACTACATATTACCATGTTTCGGGCCCCGGCGAAGTCGATCAGCCTCAGTCCGTTATCGGACCTTTCGTCGTGGAGGCTGAATTTTTCGACAGTGGCGCCTAAGATCCCTTCCTTGACCACTTTGGCATTAAAATCGCCAAGCACGATTTTGACATAGTGTCGGGGGCAGCGCTCATATGTACGTTCCAAGCGCTTATAGAAGAGATCCTTGGACGCCTCATCCTTCTCTTCCGTCGGGGCATGGGCAGATGAACAAGATGTTGAAGAATCTAGCTTTGATGCGGGTTGTGGCTAGACGTTCGTCCACCGGGGTGAACGCCAGTACTCGGCGACGGAGTCTCTCTCCTACCACGAATCCAACACCGAATTTGCGCTCCTTTACGTGGCAACTGTAGTAGACGTCGCAAGGCTTCACGCTTATTTTTCCTTGCCCCGTCCATCGCATTTCTTGGATGGCGGTGATGTCAGCTTTTGTCTTCCCGAGGACATCAACCAGCCGGGCAGAGGCACCTTCCCCATTAAGGGTCCGGATATTCCAGGTGCATACCCTTAAATCATAGTCCTTTATACGTTTGCCGTGGTCGTCATCAGAAAAAGGGGGTCTCATCCGAGGCTTTTTAGATTTTTTCATTGGGCGGGGTTTTAACGTGGCGGGACCCAAACCCAGCGCACGCGAAGTTTTACGCCTTCTCACCTTAGCTCGCTCCCAAACGGGTGTTTGGTTGCTACCCAGAGGATACGTGGATATAAATATCCGGACGTTGTGAGCTGCGATTTGAACCGTATGCACAAGAATCGCTTCTGGCCACTCGCAGGTGAATGGCAGTCAAAAGTTTTCGACTTATGCGCACGGAACCATCCTCCATATAAAAGATATACATATGTATTATTTACTGCCTTCACAACCACTAGTGAAGATCTATGACAATATCGAAGTACGCACTAACAAAATTGAGTTTAATTACATTTCTTTCAACTACAGACTACATGGACAGACGTTTTTCGAATTATTCAAAAATTTTAAATGACGAGTTAATTTTTGATTGGTAATTTAAAAAAGCATGCAATTTTATGCTGTAATTTCGATATGATTGTATAAAATTATGGAAAAACTGAAATAGAACTTATGTATGTACTACATGTTACTACATATTTATGTATTTAAGATCATATTTAGTTTATTTATCGCGCTTTTTGTATGCAGATTTTTGCCAGCACTGGTTATATATGTATATAGTATATTACCTTTTCCCTGACCCTATTACGAAGCGTTATTTTCCTGTAAATTTCAGATTCACTGACTGCCATTCGATAATAGTTTACTGCACGCGTCGGGATGAGTGTGAACGCGTATCTTCATACCTTCGCACATGTATGCAGGATCAATATAAAGAGAAAGATGCTTCAGTCAATGGCAAGCGAAAGCGTAAACGAGTAAATTGGGCTGCGGAGCCTTATCATGCTGGTATGCCATCCTCACGGCGTCGCACAATACAAAACGCCTTTATGAGCAATGATCTACGCATTGTAGTGGCCACCATAGCTTTCGGTATGGGTATCAACAAACCAGATTTACGTGCCGTTATTCATTACAATATGCCCCGCAATTACGAAAGTTATGTGCAAGAAATTGGTCGTGCCGGTCGAGATGGCAAGCCAGCACATTGCCATCTCTTTTTAGATGCGCGTGGAGGGGACAAATGTGAACTACGTCGACACATCTATGCGAACTCAATTGATCGACATGTGATACGCAAACTGTTGCAGCACGTTTTTGTGCCTTGTGCCTGTGCAAAGAAGGGGCAGCCGGAAGAGCAATATCAGAGAACCCAAGGTTCCAAAAATGAATTGGTGATTAATGTAGAATCGCAAGTGAATAATCGACTTTGTCCCGGCCATGAAATCGGATTATCGGTCGAACGGACCATTGAAGAATTGGACATACCAGAGGAGAATATTTCTACATTGCTGTGCTATTTGGAGCTGGATTCTCGCTGGAATATTAGTGTGCTTAGCAACGCCTATACCATGGCCAAGGTCATATCATACGGAGGTGCCAAGTATTTAAAGTGAGTTCTTGAATTGAATGAGTTCTGTGAAATGGCATAATATACTTAATATTTTTATTGAAAATACAACATTGCAGACATGCTGCCAAGGAATGTGCCCCATTAGCTATGGCTATTGCGCTTGAAATAAAACAAAACAAATTTAAGGACGATTCAAATATAATAGAGTTCTCCGTGGTTGACGTTGCTGCAGCGATTGGCTGGAATAGTGGTGTTGTGAAATATCAACTTAAAAATTTAGAGTGGACCCAAGGTAATTAAAATTAAAACCTCCAAAATATGTTTAAGTAGTTTGTGCAAGTCCTTGCAAGAAATTCAAAAAAGAAACGAAGAAAGCTTATGGCGATGAGAATTGAAAATACACATCCCTAATCGAATGCAGGGGATAATTTGATATACTACCCTGCCCACCTTTAGTTCATACACTTTGAAATATTTCTACTTCAAGATTGTATGAGCTATAAGTGTGAAGTGTGTGAACTCTAGGTGGGCAGGGTAGTACATATACCATTGTGGTCAGTTGATTAAGCTAAGTGACATTTTGACCAGTTTTGGATATTTTTAACCGACATTAAAAAAAGGAGCAGGTTATTAATTCGTCGGAATATTTTGTTTTATGTATCTTACCACTTTTCATCGGAATGGTAGTGTCTCACAGGGGGTCCCATATTAATTTGGTTTAGATCCGATCATTGGATCATGAAAAAAATTAACGATACTCCTAAATTTTTATATGAGAATTGAAGTCAGTTGTTTTTTTTTGCGTAAAAATTACTTGTTCTTTTGTCTATTTAATGTTTATAATTTTTTTTTTGTTATAAAAGTCTAGCATATTCAGAGCTGGGTCGTAATGATTCCTTTAAGAATTAAATTACTCCCAATTACAAATTACAAGGAATTGTAAATCAATTCGTTCAGTCCACAGCAAAGGAATTGATTACTTTTAATTCCTTAGAAGTAATTTCGAATGTAATTTTTATTTTTTTTTTGAATTCCATTACAAGGAATTTCATATTGTAATTTGAATAAATTACGTGCTAGTAATGTAATTTTTTCCCCATTTCCTTTGAAAGGAATTGAAAATGTAATATATTGTCTTCCAATTCCATTACATGGAGTACTTTAATTTTTTCAGATACTCAAAGGAATTGAGAAACTGAAAGTTCATTCACGAATGTATAATGTGGATTTTTTTTGTAATCAGAGAATAAAATCGAAACCACACAATGAACATCTTCTATCTACACATATCTATGTACATATGTATGTACATATATGTAGTATTTATAAAAATATTGGGTTCGTTTGTACGAGGCCTCAAAACTCGAGAACGGCTGAACCGATTTGAATAAATTTTGTTTTAATTGTTCGGTATAACACCAGGATTTGTGGTACAAAAATTAAGAGGGCTGCCACCTATTTGAAAGTTTTAAACTCAATTAAATTCATAAAATTAATAAAATATAGCAATGTGGGATATTCTTGAGGAGTGTTGTCACCTATTTGAAAATTTTTACTCTGTTAAATTTATAAAATAAAGGAAATATTGCAATGTGGGTTTCAAACTAGAGAGTTTTAAGAAGGCTTACAGTTTATATTTTCGAAGAGGGTTGCCACCTGTTTGTAAATTTAACTCAATTGAATTAACAAAATAAATTAAATATTACAGTATGGGTACAAAATATATATTAGTATAGACTAGCCAATACCTGCTTGCTTTATGGCGCCTTAAAACAATATTAACGATGAAAATCGATGGATAATATACAAGTTTGCAATGGTTAAGTGAAAGTGCAATAATTTTTTGTATTAAATAGGAGCAGGATATAATGTTACTCATGCGCCATATCGTACATGACCGTACTCATAAATGGCGTATGAGTAACATTTTCCATGTTAAAGTTTGAGTTTTTTCATTCGCTATGCAAACTTAAAATGAAATTAACTTGAGTAAATGACCTTATCTGAAAAAACGGTGTACAGATCCGTAACCTACTACCCAAAATTAATTTTACGTGTCCCGGCGTTTTTTGTGTAATTTTAGAGTCCTAACAGTGTTATCATCACAATTTAGCCATATCAATGCAATTTGTTTATAAAACTCTTAAAAGGTAGGATCCCCAGTTCGACAGGGCTCGTAATTCAAGCGCACTCTCCACATTTGTAACGCAGGATACCAGTAAGAGTACTTTAAAGGCCCCAGAAGACACGCCACTTTGGTTCGCATTAAGGGTTCCATAATATGTATACACAATTAAGCCAATGCAATTCAACAGTAAATTTAAATTACTTTGAGGAATGGAATTCGAAAAATAAATTTTAAATTCCTTTGAACTTTGAAATCAATTACATTTTCAATTCATTTCAAAGGAATTGGCAAAAAAAATTACATTACTGGCACTTAATTTATTCCAATTACAATATGAAATTCCTTGTAATGAAATAAAAGAAAAACAATTACATTTGAATGCAATGGGGTATAATCGTTGCGCTGGGTATGCAGTTACAGTTGCATGGCTATACTCAATCCCGACTCTTGCGTCCTCGTTCGCGCACTCTGGGCAACGTGAGCAACCCATGTGCAAGATGCGGTAACCAATCCGAGTGGAGCCTTGGGTCACGGCAGAAAGGGAAGGAGCTTAGGTGGGGCCAGTCCGATTTATTCGGTTTAAGGGCTCACTGAAGTCTGCAGCGTCTGCTCACCAGTAGGTGCGGCTGCAAGCGGGTGTCTCAGCAATGGGTTGTGCGCTGGGTTTCGGACCCGCCACGTAAAAACCACTTCCAGTGAAGAAGCAAGGCAAAGCCTCGGATGAGACCCCCCCCCCCCTTATGATGACAATCACGGCAAACGTTTAATGGACTACGATTTGAGGGCATGCACCTGGAATGTCCGGACCCTTAATGGGGAAGGTGCCTCTGCCCGGCTGGTTGATGTCCTCGTAAGGACAAAAGCTGACATCATCGCCATCCAAGAAATGCGTTGGACGGGGCAAGGCAAGCAATGTCTGGGGCCTTGCGACGTCTACTACAGCTGCCATGTAAAGGAGCGCAAATTCGGTGTTGGATTTGTGGTGGAAGAGAGACTCCTTCGCCGAGTACTGTCGTTCACCCCGGTGGACGAGCGTCTAGCCACAATCCGCATCAATGCGAGATTCTTCAACATCTCGCTCATCTGCTTCCATGCCCCGACGGAAGAGAAGGATGAGGCATCCAAGGATCTCTTCTATGAGCGCTTGGAGCGCCCGTACGAGCGCTGCCCCCATCATGATATCAAAATCGTGCTTGGTGACCTCAATGCCAGGGTGGGCAAGGAAGGATTCTTTGGAACCACCGTCGGAAAATTCAGCCTCCACGGCGAAACGTCCGACAACGGATTGAGGCTGATCGACTTCGCCGGGGCCCGAAACATGGTAGTATGCAGTACTAGGTTCAAGCATAGAAAGATCCATCACGCTACTTGGCTGTCTCCGGATCGAAAAACGAGAAACCAAATATGCAAGGAAAGCTTAACGTCGAAAAGCTGCAATCACATCATACAGCCAGCGCTTTCACTACTTGACTCTCACACCTGCTCTCGGAGAGCACTCTTCAACAAACCGACATATGCGAGCAGTGGAACCACATTTCTCGCTCATTAAGTACCGCCGCCGAAGAAGTAGTCGGATTTCAGAGAGCCCAAAAGAACAACTGGTACGATGAGGAGTGTCTGGAAGCTGCAGAGAAAAAAGATGCCGCAATGCGCGCTATGTGGGACCGCTATAGGGATCTGAAGAGGGAAGCGAGACGTATTTGCCGGAATAAGAAGAGAGGCCTAAATACGTGAGTGCGAAGAGCTTGAAATGCTGGTCGACAGGAAGAATGCCCGAAATTTTCACCAAAGAGTTAGGCGACTTACGGAAGGTTTCAAGACCAGGGCGTACTACTAATGGCGACCAAGTAACCGATGTTCAGGGCGTACTTAAATTATGGAGGAACACTTCTCCGCCCTAGTGAATGCTAGCAGCTCGGAAAGTTGTGGAGAAGAAGAACCCGAGCCCGCAGTCGATGATGACGGAGTCGACGTTCCACCACCTGACTATGACGAGGTACGAATAGCAATAACGCGGCTGAAAAACAACAAAGCTGCTGACACTGACAGCCCGCCAACTGAGCTATTCAAGTACGGCGGCGAGGAGTTGATAAGGTGCATGCATCAACTCTTGGTCAGAATATGGTCAGATGAACGCATGCCCGACGGCTGGAATTTAAGTGTGATCTGCCCAATCCACAAGAAAGGTGACCCCGCCATTCGCGCCAACTACCGCGGGATCAGCCTTCTAAGCATAGGTTGCAAGGTCTTATCGAGCGTATTGTGTGAAAGACTGAAGCTCACCGTCAATGAACTGATTGGGCCTTATCAGTGTGGCTTTAGACCTGGCCAAAGACCAGGTATTCATAATACGCCAAATCTTGGAAAAGACTCGCGAGAAAAGGATCGACACTCACCACCTATTTGTCGACCGCTTTTGACAGCACTAAAAGGAGTTGCCTATACGCCGCTATGTCTGAATTTGGCATCCCCTCAAAACTCATACGGATGTGTAAAATGACGTTGAGCAATACCACCAGCTCCGTCAGAATTGGGAAAGATCTCTCCGAGCCGTTCGCCACCAAACGGGGTCTCAGACAGGGCGACTCCCTTTCATGTGACTTCTTTAATCTGATGTTGGAGAAGATAACAAGAGCTGCAGAACTGAACCGCTCAGGAACAATTTACTACAAGAGCGTGCAATTGCTGGTTTATGCCGATGACATCGATATCATCGGTATCAAAAACCGCGAAGTCTGTACTACCTTTTCCAAGTTGGGTAAGGAAGCAAAGCGAGTGGGTCTGGTGGTAAACGAGGGCAAGACGAAGTATCTCCTGTCATCAAACCAACAGTCAGCACATTCGCGCCTTGGCACCCACGTCACTGTTGGCAGTTACAATTTCGAGAAAGTAGAGAATTTCGTTTACTTGGGAACCAGCATTAACACCGATAATTATGTCCGTGTGGAAATCCAACGCAGAATCACTCTTGCCAACAAGTGCTACTTTGGATTGAGTAGACAAGTCCTCTCTCGAACTACGAAAACCACGCTCTATAACTCACTAATCATGCCCGTGCTGGTATATGGCGCAGAAGCATGGACAATGACAACATCCGATGAGGCGGCTCTTGGAGTGTTCGAGAGAAAGATTTTGCGGAAGATTTACGGGCCTTTACGCGTTGG